GCGTGAATTAATTGATGATAACAATTGTTTATTATGTTTATGTGGAATAGGTTTACTAACATATTAGTTTAATTAGTGGATAATTTTGGTTTTAAATGTTTATTTATTTTATTTAGTCGAAACTAATTAAAGATTTTAGAGCATCCATCTAATCATTGATTGACCAATCAAAATCGTGAATTTGATAACGTAAAAATAAATGAATTATTATTATTTATATTAATATGAGAGTTAATAAAAATATTCGACAAATGGTTCAAATTAATGTTAAGAAGTTGGAAGAAAGCATGCGACAAACCTTTAAAATAGTCTAATAAATTAAATTGCACTACTCGAGGATGTATTTAAAGGGTTGGTTTCGACTTGTTGAAAAACAATTCTCTTTCCAACTCTTCTCTTGACCATATCTCTCGACATAACCTTATATAGTGCAAGTCACTTAGTCCCACAACTTTTTATTGGTCATTCGTTTTGCAAACTTCATAGATCTTGACTAACATTTACTTCGATCAAACCCGTCTATATAATTATTTGAATAATTGATAATAATAAAACGTTGATAAATATATTTTACAAACAGCTTCGTAGATCTCACTACTTTAATACTTACTTCGATCAAACCCGCCTATATAATTGTTGAATAATTGATAAACATTCGTTTTGCAAACTTCATAGATCTTGACTTTGACACTTGCTTCGATCAAACTCGCCTATATAATTGTTGAATAATTGATAAACATTCGTTTTGCAAACTTCATCGATCTTGACTTTGACACTTGCTTCGATCAAACTCGCCTATATAATTATTTGAATAATTGATAATAATAAAACGTTGATAAATATATTTTACAAATAGCTTCATAGATCTCGACTACTTTAATACTTACTTCGATCAAACCCGCCTATACAATTATTGAATAATTGATAATAATAAAACGTTAATTAAATACATTTTACAAACAGCCTCATAGATCTCGACTTTAAGACTTACTTTGATCAAACCCGTCTATAATAATAAACATTCGTTTTGGAAACTTGATTTGCAAATAGATCTTGACTTTAACACTTACTTCGACCAAGCCCGCCTATATAATTATTTGAATAATTGATAAAGCACTCGTTAAATATATTTACAAACAGATTCATAGATCTTGACTTTTAACACTTATTTCGATACAAGCTGTTCAATAATTGATAAACGTTCATCAGTATATTTTATAAACTTGCTTTGGAAGCTTCGTATGTTGTCATATATCTTGTATTTAACAGTCTACTTTTTCTGTTGAATTTTATTTTTTTTAAATTACACAATAAAAAATTATAGAATAAATTTAATCCAATGAAATGGTTGGTATCCCATATTTTGCACAACTTGAAAAAAAGTTAATATATAAGTCATAGAATTTGGTATAAAAGTATCGACCAGGAAAAAGTCATGCAATGATGAAGTACCGGATATGGTCCCCTGTGTCCGGCTCCCTTAGGTGCAATGCCTCACTTTGGACCGGCTGTAAAGTCCCGCGTGCTAGGAAGGTGGAACTGACGCGGGTGGCACATGTTGGGTGTATTGACCCCTCGTGACATGACCCTTCCTTTTGTTAATTTTATTATTTATTTTTATTTAGTTAAAAGGAAACATTTAAAGATTAAAAAAGATAAAAATTCGCTAATTGATTTGATTGGTTACATTTGTAATATACGAAGATCTATCAATCAATAATATTAATAATATTATTATAATTAGTAGCAACGACGACAACGAATCATCGTTTGTGAGGATGATAAGATCCAGTTTGTATAGGAGTGATCGAAGTGCTAAGACAAGATTTATAAGCTTTCAAAATATTCTAACGAACGTTTTATCAATTATTCAATAGTTTGTACAAGCATTAAGGACAAGATCTATGAACAAAATATTCTAACGAACGTTTTATCAA